CTCTTCAAATGGAGTTAATTGTGAGGAATAGTTAAAGGACACAACTGTGGAAATAAATACTGAGTTTCTTTAAAGAGATTGGTAGCAGCCAGCTTCAACACAGTGAAGGCCGGCCATTGTTTAAACTTAAGACCGAAAATGTGTAGCTAAATACAGGGCCCCCCTAAAACGTCTTTCTTTATCATGGTTCCTCAGTAAATGAGGAATTTAATGAACTTCTTCAAGTTAAACCGTCACATTCGGTAAACTCGTTCACAATCCGACTAAACAATTGCCGATCAGTTGGGGGCTCTATTAAAATCTCTAGACAAGCTTTTCTGCCAAAAACATGTGAGTGACAGACTCCTTCCCAGCAGTGGTAAAGGAAATAAGAGGAAAAGCAAGCGAAACAGAACTCCACGTAAGCAAATCAGTGAATTCAGGGCCTAGAAGCTGCAAGGAGACAACACAGAAGACGTCTGATTGCTGCACAAATTGTAAAGCAATTAGCCTAGAAATATCGTACATGTTTCAGCCTTAGTGGTGGAAGGACTGACAGCGCAATCCATAGGGAAAGAAGCTCTTTTTAGAATTAAAAATGGACTATTTTCGCAGTCTCTCCGTCTGCCTGACAGATATCATAGTAGCTGGTGGTGATGCATATAGATGAGTATAAAGATATACAGAAAAAAAAAAAAAAGAATCGACCAAAGACGCTTGCTCACTAAAATAAATAAATATCTATGACGGCCCTTGTACACTTTGAAATTCTGTACCGATAGGTAGAAAAAAAAACACAATGACAAAGCACAAGTGAGAGGGTAGAAAACCAGTTTGTCGTTTTCAAAGGGACCAAAGGTTGAATGAGAGAGGGATTTTCATTCCACCTTAAACTATTTTTGCACCCTTGAGAGCTTGAATGAAAGCATATAGTGCAGAGTCACAGTATGGGAAGAACCAACAGATATCTACAATAGGCCCTGCAGCCAACTAGCAGCCGTGTCGCTGTGTCCTTTGATCAAGGATGTTGGTATCTGTCCAAATGGAGACTGAATGCTGCATTCTTTGGGCATCTGATAATCCATTGAAATTGTCCTCTGCTATGATAGTAAACGTCTGAAGACGTTCCACTCAATTTTGATGGCTAGAAATGCTTGTTTTATGTGAGAGTTTGGTGCCTTTTCTCTTTATCATTGTAAATTAAGAACAATTTAGAGTTGTTGTTAGGTTCAGGTGTACTTTGAAGAGTATGGGTTTCACATTTTACTGATCAGTGTAGAATATTAATGGGATTAAATATAAATAAATCTTCATTAGCATCTTTACAATACATTTTGTCTTGCTTTATTTTGCTTTTCTGCTTACAGGCTGTGGTCACTGCTTGTAGCTCCATAAACATCCTTGTACGGTTGTGATTCCTCCACTTCTTCATTTCAGCAAACAGTAGTAGTTATAAGAGAAAGCCGGCGATAGAATTGGTCAATCAATTTCCTGACATTTTTTTATCTTATCTGCCTGAATTTGTTAAATGAGTACAGGGTTAAATATTATATAAGCATTCCTGCCCCGCCGAGCCCCACCTGTCACTTTCCATAAAGTACATGAAAGAAGCCTCGGCTGGCCCGATGTTGCCTTAGTGTTTGTCTTCCACCATGAAACACTAAGAGGGGACATTCTTAGGACCCGTGTGTATGTGAGGATCTTGCATGTCTCTTTGTGTTCATCAGAGCTGATATGACTGGTAAGGAAAAGTTATTCTGAAACCTTGACACACAGAATCTAACATGACACTCAAATATTTATTGAAATACTTCCTAAATGAATGCAGCCCTACATTCGTTGATTAGTGGGCGTGATGGAGGTGATTGTGTGATCTGTGGGTGTGTGTGTGTGCGAAAACTATTTGTCTACTCGAATGAATTCAACGCAATCAAATATCAAATATAAACAAAATAACAAAAGCTCATAGAAAGGGAAGTACATCCAAGGGAGTAAAGAGACCACAAAGAACGATAGCAGAAAGATTCCAGGTGGTATGCGGAGAAATCAAAATCAAACTGGTGAAAAAAAGCCAAACAAAGTGCATCGGGACGAAGGTGACCGCGGCAATAATTATTCTTTTGAAAATCCTAGCGAACATAAAAAGAGCGGCGTGTGCAGCAAACGTGCCCCTGGGATGTTTGAGTATATTGTAGCATGACGACAGTTATCCTATTAACATCCCTGCCAGCTCGCAGCCTAACAGACTGAACCACTCTGAGGTTTACACTCACTTGCACATGAGAGGATTGCCACACGATACAGACTGAGTCGCAGAGGTAAACACAGATCAAACATTATTCCTCTTAACCACAACTATTCCAAAGCTGTGAAACTGTGGAAGACATGTCATCTCTTTCCTAGGATTTGGCGTAAAACTGAATGATATTGGCTCATCCAATGTGCCACTGGTGAAGCTGTAAAATCATGCAAATATTAGATTGACTTTTGGCTTTTTTTATTGGAGATCATTTTCCCTGCCCGTAGACTGGGGAGATGTGTTGCACCATCTATTCGCCAACAATGATTATTTTTCTGTTGACCTATGTCCGAAATATGTTAATCTGCTGACATTCAGAGGTGAAGAGAAGGGGTGGGGTGTTAGAGGACAGAGGTCAATCCTTTTGAAAACCACGAAATGCTTGGAACTGAATAACTGGAATTTCCCATTAAGACAAATACAATCTTTGTGCGTAATCTGTCTGCCTTGGTCTCTGTGTGTGATAAAATGAAAAACTGTTTCCAACCAATTTCTGCTCGCTGGCTGTGTCGGACATTTTTCGAAACACCAGCAGAGAGGGCAGAGCTCAACAACAAAGCACACAAAGAAAGCACAAAGAGTGCAGACAAGCCAAAATCTGACCACCAGTGTCATCTCGACCCAGGCGGAGGAACACGTCCAGATCAAGTTTGGAGAGGGATCGTAGTGAGAAATAATATCGTTTTGCCCCACAAAGAACACTAACATAGGTACATGTGTATAAGCAGAAGCATTTGGGAAAATATACAGTATATGCACATAGTTAGTGTTTAGTTTGAAAGAAGATAAACTATAAAAACCCGTCTGGCACTGGAAAGCCTCACCATGGCGCTTGTCAATGTTCAATAAAATTTAACTGTGTGTGAAGCAAAGGAATCCGGACAATTTGCAACTGGAGGCAAATGTGTCCCACCCCGTTCCACATATAAATGAATGGGAGGCATTCACGTCACGTAACGGCACCATAAGGTTTTTGCTTGTTCCCTGACACGCAGCCATTCATAAAGCATCAGACGCCGTTGGACCACCATGGAGCGCATTCAGCCGATCACCCAGTAGGTGTGTGTGTGGGCTCCATCGGCAGGAGCACAGAGGATTGAGCATAATTAATCCTGCACGTGAAGGGCTGAGGAATAACATCGGTGCAAAGTTAAGTTAAGTTAATTATCAGTTTAACATTGTCTTCAGCTCATGCTTGTTCATGTTGTGTCTCTTATTCAACTCTTACAAAAGGTCCTAAGGATGTTTTTCCTCTGCAGGTCATTGGCAGCACTCAGGAGACCAGCAGTGGCACAAGCACGAACCACCACACACACAATCCATCAGGCACTCTCAAACAATTGTGTACATCAGCAGGAAAAATAATTGAATCCCAAAATAACTTGAATCCCAATAGAACTAATAGCTTCCACTCAGTCCTTCCGAAAATTGCTGAAAGCACTAAGTCCAAGAAACAGATGGGATTGAGAGGAGATGAGGACTTTTGCTGACCACACCACAGGCTCTTCAATGGTTTGACCGACATATTTAGACCCACACACACACACAGACACATCTACCAGAGTATAATCAGACCTGAGGACCTTCAGGGAAGTTCCTCTGACCCTCTGATGCTGCACTGTAGCAGCAGTGATGCCTGAAGGAGGGAAAGGCGACACATGTACTCTCTTTGTTCTTAAACATATTGTTAACTATTTGTGGATGTTTAATCCAGTGGTCCTTGGAATGAACCATACCTGAAATAAATAGGACAGATGAAATGTTGATCAAACAACAATATGAGATGGGAAAATCAGTCTTTGATTAATCTGCTTTAAAAATAAAAAGTAGGTCACGACGGGGCCTTATTTGCTAAAAATGCTATGAGAAAAAAAACACATGTACTGAGTCTGATTAATTAATTATGTAATAAAGGAATATGATACTCGCAACTCCATTTAAAGTGCGTCTCTTACTAGTTTTATATTTATACACAAACACACACACAAGCACACACAATACTGGGACTCAGGGCCAATTAGTTAAGTAAAAACATATCTGGATTTGAGACAACTGGACACCTGGCTGCCCGCCAATAACTCGCGTTTTTTTTGCTACTTGAAAATGCACGCTGTACCTGTTGCTGTCTCTGCATGTGACTGAGTGAGTGAGTGTGTCTTTTTGTCTGAAGGCATAGTACATATTTAATGAGACAAGGCAGTGTCATCTTCAACAGGCTGAATGCAAGATAACAGATGAGTCACTGGTGAAAACATGGATCACAACAACATTTTTCAATCCCAGTCTGCTCAGTGTGACTGTGGAAAACCTGTGGTTTGATATACAATAACCTTTCCAATTAAGATTGAATTCTATTCATTTAACCTTCAACCTGTGTGACACATGACAGCACTGCAAAAAGCCTCACCTTCGATCATCAGTGAGTGCTATCTCTAACTGATCTACCCCAGACACCCAATATCCTCCCCAGGCGAAACGCGCCACTGGAACTAACCACGCAGGCGGTATACGCCCTCTACTGGTAGTACAGAGTAGCACAAGTATCGTGTACCTGTCTAATGTGTCTCAGAGCTCTCGTCTCCACAGAATTCTCATAAACTGAGAGGCCAAACTGTTTAGCTTTGATTGCTCCGGGTGTGTCACGTCGGGTCATAAACAACAAGCTTGTTGTGCTTCCATCGAGCATGTCTGTGCTCTGCTGTTCATTGTACTCGTCGCTTACCTTGCAGGGTCAATTGGCGTGATATCTATCCTGGGAGGGGCTCCGAAGGGCAAAGACGTTGGCCTGGGCATGATTTCCTCATCAGGAGTCCGCGACTTCTCCCCCTGTCGCCATGACAGCGGCGGTAGCTGCAGGTTGCCCTGAGAAACGAGCGTCTGCCGTGAGCGCAGGTCGACCCCCCAGTGTGCAGGACGGAGAAATCAAAGACTCACTAAGAGCAGAAATCTTGACGCTCTTTGCAGTCCTGAGAAGATAAAGAAAAGAAGGAGGGAGTTGATTAAATAAAAAATAAAAAACTTTTAACATTCACCAGGAGACAAAGAGAAGAGTATACTGATTATAGGAGAATTAAGGACCAGTGAACCCTTAAATTCAAGGTGAATGGTGGGTTTAATTACACAGGTGGTTACTTTTCCTGCTTATCCGTTAGTTGGCCACTAAGGGGCGCCGCAGGCTGTTTCTGTTGAGGAGGCATCGCATACAGGCGGTACTGGTGTCCCTTTACAAACACGTCATTAGCTTGACTAGCTCTGCTCACAACCTAATTTCTCACACAAATTCATATAAAAGTGTGAGACACACGTCATGCACACTTTTGACAGCTGTTCACACGCATATCCTTACTTCAAAAGACTCAACTCTTCTCTTTCACCTCGTTTGTGGCCTAATTTATTTTATTAGCTTGCAGCTGTTGCAAGGCATAATTTACATCTTTATTTTTCTCTTGTGCAGTAAAATGTAGAAGCAATTCTGATAGCAAATAATTGATTCTGTTGATCTGGCGTTAATATTTCTGAAAACCAGGGCTTCCCTTAGCTCTTATTCCTGAACTACTAAAATAGACCATTGCTGCCCAGCTGAAGCTAATCCCAGCAGACTCTGGGTGACACACAGCGACACATGGAGTCACACTTGTGACATCAATCAATAATAATTAATTGATCTACATTGACCTGCACGAGAGCAAGATGAGACAGGTCTGCTGCCAGAACGTCCTCCCCGCTGAGGTTTTTATTATTGATAATGAAAACAATTGTCTTTATTAACAGTAAAATAACCGTAAATGACCGAGGAATTGCTCTGTGCAAATTCTCAGTATGGCAGAGAAAGACATTAATGACCAAATCATTTGTACTGATTATTTATTCTTAAAAGCTCAATTCTCACTCTGGGTCCCACAACTGTTCTTCTTGGCAATCAACATTCCTCTGCCACAGATACCAAACTTTTATGTGTACTGAATACTGAGTCTTCACTTCTTATGTTTCACAGCGTGAGAACTCTTTTGTGTCGTTCCATTCAGCCGTATGAAGAAGCCGAAGCAACTGCAACTTCTAAGAATATCATAAATACAAGGCAACCATTAACGGGCAGATTTTATATAATATATTTATGAAATCGAACTTGTGAAAAGTAGAAAAACAAAAGAATTGAAAGTATGGTTTTTGACTGGTTTTGAGGGATGGACGGTCGTTAGTGAAGGAGTAAAATAAAAAACCTTTCAATGACAACTCAAACTGGAGATATAGAAGTGATAATAACTGCTCCACTGAGTGGAGAAGGAAGGAAGTTCGATCAAGTTTGGTGATATTAGAAGAGAAAGAAAAAAATACAATAATACATATTGTTTAATGAAGCTCAATACTAAGTGTCAACTAGTTTGCTTTTCGATGACTGTAATAAATAAACCTCTTGCTTATTCTGTCACATTCTTATTTTTATTCTTTGAAGACGTAAATATTACTCTGAAGGACTTCATGACTGACTAAAGGAGAATTTCTGTTCTACTTTCTCGGTTGCCTTTGAAAAGAAGAGAGTGAAGGATGTACGCACAAGGATTTTATTCACATAATATGTTCAAAGACAAGGAACGTAAAGTCAGTCATGGATACAGTTGGTAAATGCGTGGAAGTGACTAGAATTTGAGTCATTAACCCATTTCTATTTTGTAACTATGAGTTTGGATTGCATCAGTTTTTTGTAAATTCATCACTATATTTATGTTGATATATTCTGTGGACAACTATTTGTAGTGTTTGGGACTTTTCTCTGTGGATATCAGGCATTTCAGAGCAGCCTTTACTGGCAGCCTTCCCATTTCTCACCCACCAACACACAAATCCCTCTGCACTCTCGCCATCTCGACACAAAGGCAACAACACAACAGGGAGGAAATGAGGAGATGAGATGAGAAAACAACACCTGCTTCCGATGTGTTTTGGAGGGGGAGGAATGGAGAGTGGGAGAGGAAAGGCGGAGAGACCCGTTGGTGAGGAGCGTGAGGGGAAAAGGTCAGACGGACCACAGAATATGGGAGAGGACAACGGCAAGAAAAGGGCAAACAGCTGGGGCAGGACATAAGAAGGAGGAATTGCCATAATGGGGGAGTAAAGCTATAGTGAGTAAGAAAGGGAGGGGAACTGCTTGAGAGAGGAGAGTAAAAGGAAGATGAGTGAGAGTGGGAGCGAGAAGAACGGCGGGGAGCACAGAGGGAGAATCTGAAAGAGGCTGATTAGTATGTACAAAATGAGACCTATGCCTCTAGAGCTGCGTAGCTTTCAGCACTGTGCACATGCAAACAAGTACATATTGTGCATTTTATACACACACACACACACACATGTACCTGCATGTATACAGACATACATACAGTATATATATATATAGATATATACAGTATACATACACCGTATATGTATGTATACTGTATACACATGTGTGTATATATATTTACATAAGTAGGACTGGAAATATATTCATGGCTGGCAGCTAAAGGGATGTTGAACTGATGAACAAAACAAATATGATAGTTGATATATGTGTGATGATGCATTCTTTTGTTTTGCTGATGGTTCCAACTATGTCAACGCTTTTGAAAAGAATTCAGATTTAGAAGCAGATTTTTCTTTTAATAATTCAAAACTTTGCATTCTAGAATAGAAATACCGTCGTCGCTTTTGAATAAATGAACTTGATCCATAGGCTGCTAAAAATCATAAAATATGGCATTGAGCTTACAAAGGGGGATGTTATTAATAAAACACTGGGGAATTATTACGTCTCCTTTCCTGCTTTTCACTGAGAAATTGCCCGATAAAAGTGTCTCAAATAAGTAATACAGTAAATAGATTACTGACTTTCCCGCTACAGTAACCTGTGATGTATGTATTGTCAGAGGTTAGAGCACAAGAACACATCATTTGCTGAAGGCCCTTTTCGAAGCAATTTCGAGTTTCATCTATCTAGTTTTCTTTATCGAGCATGCATGGGCAGTTTTCAGTGGATCTTGAGAAGCAGATTGAGATCCAGACTGAATCCATGCTGTCCCCCAGTTCGTTTTTTTCCAAGAATCATTCCCTGCCCTCCTTCCAAAGGATCATTTTGCCTGCTTTATTTAACCAATGCCTCCATGTTTTGGAGCTGTGGCAAAAACAGTATTTGTTATGACGGATACATGGGACAGCGGAGGGCAAAAAAAAGTCTTAACCTTCAGCTTCCAATCTCTCTTGAGAAGGAACAGCTCTCGAGTTTGAGGCGCCCAAATACAAACTCAAATGCCACAGAGATAGAGCTGTAGATGAGAGATGGATGCTAAAATCAATCAGAGAAAAACAAAGAGAGGCAGCAATTTACACTAATGTCTGTGTGTTACATATTCATTTAGTAAAATACAGGGTAGGTATTAGGAAAGGTGTAAATAAGGTGTAACTACATCAGATTATGCCCTCATTCGATTTGGACCGTTCTAATTTGCAATAACACTGTCTGATAAATGAAAAAATAGTGCGTTGTTGGTGAACTGAACAACATTTATCACAGCACTTAAAATTAAAAACACTAAATCACGACACACACACACACAGAAAGGGAGAGAGCTGGAGAGACGGAGAGAGAATTAGAGAGAGGGAGAGAGAGAGAGCGAGAGAGAGTTTATCTGCATGGGAATGAGGTCATTAACTCTGAATCTGTCCTTCAGGGCACCTCAGACCAACACAAATAATTAACTTTAATCCATAACGATCCAATTCATGTGAATATTGAAATCACTTTAACATACACAGCCTCAATGCTCACAAACAGCCTAAAAACCCACAAGACATTGTGATGATGGGTTAAATCATTAACACATACAAACATCACTCAAATGTAATCCCCGCCGAGCATTACCAGCTGAACCAAATCCCTTCTGTTAGAGCTCGACCCCAATAACAAGGCCCGACCTCAGTACACTTAACGTCATTGATTTAAGAAACACACTGCTTTTATCGTGCATGGTTAAATGCATGACAATCAACAAAGAAAGTGATCATTCTTCATTTGCTCATCTGTTCACAAACATCTTTAGAGCATTTAGCTATAGTGTGTTTAGCCACCTTGTGGACCTTTCCAATTCCTTTCAATTCACCTTTTTAAATACATTTATGGAGCTGCAGCGGGGAAGGCAGTGGGCTTAGCGTTGTATAAAGACTGGAAGCAGAGATATTGAGCATTCCAGCAATAAACATGTATGTTAGTTAGTAGACTGTAGTGGTCAACTAATCAACTAATATGATTATTAACTATTGCTCTGAGTTTATACATTAAAGACACATACCAGCCTTGATCTGAAGCAGACATAGACACGCTTTACGTCAAGTACGAATAAGCTTTCCTGGATTCCTTTTCAAATGCTTGTTGTGAGCGGCCTCCCCCGCTGTTACTGGAGAAACCAAAACCAGGCTGTCATAACCTCACTGAAGTGTTTGACAGGTAACACCACCCACCACTCCTGCACAAAACTACTTTACAGCTTCAAAATGGGAATCTGCCCCTGTCAAAGCTGAGAGCAGATCCTCAGTCTGTTATTCATTCCAACATTCCTCCTCCAATTGTTTCCATTACCATCAATAACGTTATAACGTATATTTCTTATTGTTATTGACGTCATTGTCCCAAGATCTCTACACACACAGCATCTCACGCTCATGTGATCTCCCTCCCACAGGCTGCTGCAGGCCATTACAGTGGTGGGGTCGACCCCCTCCGAATGAATGCAATTTCGCTGAAGAAAGCAGGAATACGGGTAGAGAGAATATAAAGTTAAGAAAGTTAATGGAAGCAGTTGAAACACAGGTGAGCAATTCAAGTGGGAGAAAGAACGTACTCAAACCCACCAAAAAAGCGCATAGAAGAGAGATGTTTGAGGAATGTTCCACAGTGACTGCTAAGCGCACCTGCGTAGTTCTCCTCCTTTTCTTGCAAATGCAATTGATTTGCAGAAGAAATTGTGGTGTGTGCAGAGTGTTGTGAAATTCAAGGCGGTTAATGGCTGTGAAAAGCACTCAACTTCTTCACCGCAGCCTTTGTATTATCTTATACACGGAATCGGGATTCGACCATGTATACAAGCTCTCCATTACCAAGTGCTTCAGTAGGTCTGAGGGTGTTTTATCGTAAATGACAACTTATGTTAATAACAGAACCCTTAGCTGTGAATTCTAGCTCTTTGATTGGTCCGTCAGTCTACCTCAGGCCGAAAGAGGGGAGAGACCATGAAGGCAGCAGCTACAATGGCAAAATATACAGTGTAGCCTCCAGACTATAATATAATAATAAGACTATTAGATGAATGCTCCAGATAAAAAAGCAACCCAAGCCCACCTGCAGACATCCGTTCTATCGGCAGCGATCTTTATTAAAAAATAAATAGGCCTATAACAAGGCCACTGTTCCCACAGGATTATGTGAGACTAGGCTGGGTGGACAATATATTGAACATGCAAATTCCTTTCATACATTTTCAGTGAGAACATTGTCGTAATCGTACTGAAAAACGACATTGACGCATGATTATAATGAGTTAATAAAACATTGGCTCTCCACACACACACATTTAAGTTGGTGGCATTGACCGCCAGTAGATCACACCAAGACGTCGCTGCAGGACGTGTGTTGCTGAGCTGCAAAACAGCAGTGACCTAGTGGAGTTTAAACATCACACTACATCTACAATACCTGTGAGTCATACGGAGATCAGAGAAAGAGGACAACGAAGCGGGGAGAACATAGGATCTAAAAAAGAAGGTTTGTGCAAGAGATGTGATGGAGGAGGAGAGAGGTGGACCAAGCACAGAAATGGGCTTTCAAAACACCGGTCGAGCAGGGAAAGTGTACCATCCTGTATTCTCTGTGGAAGTGGAGAACTTCTCATCTGTGCGTTTTTGCTCTCTCCTCACTCACAGTCACAGTTAGAAACTAGAAACTACAGGAAACGCCAAAATCCCTCCTAATTGTTTGTGATCAAAACTGTTCCAAAAACAAATCGGCCTTTCACAGTCAAAGATTTATGCCTGCCGCTCTTTTGTTGATGTAATAAAAACACATCTTGGCACATCAAGGAATGTGTTTGCGTGTTAGCTGTCCACCCGGAACACTAATGAAGGCTCTTAGGTCACAACACACAGAACAATTAAATCCTCATGATGCAATGAGACCATCAGAATGTGTTGGATCTCTGGCACACGCTGCCTATTATGTAACTAGTGAGATGCGATCTGTGACACGCTGACTTACATTGTTGAGAGACACTGTGAGAACACTTCTGCTTTTCCTCATCCTTCCTCGAGTATCTCCCTCGCTGTCGAATCGCAGCTTCAAAACTCCTGGAAACACAAATAGACAAATATGTTGTTATTTTTGAACAAGCTGCAATGAGACTGTGGCCGTTGCTGTTGCTATATTATCTTGAGTAATAGAAATTGTTGCTGAAATGTGTTGCTACTGATGCCCTTTGTACAGGAGAACCGCAACGAGAATGTTGTATATTTCTATGTAGTTATTTTCAGTACTTGTCGTTGGTTCCACCGGGTCAGATTCGGCACAAAATCAGAGAAAATTCTTGCAATGCAGGAGCTGCCTGTGGGGGGGTCTGGTGGCAGACAGCCCAACTTAGACAGACCCGGATCCGCCTTCAACTTCCAACTGCAGATGGAAGCTCTTAATTCTGGGTGAGCAGCTAAAAATTTATGCTGCAATTTCAATAAATGTAGAGCGACAACTAACAATTACTTCCTTTATTGATGAATCTGATTTTCAAATTTACTCAGTCCTCAGAGTTGAAAATACAAAATTTCTTATTTTGTCAATCCAAAAGTCCAAACTTAAAAATGGTCTAACTACAAGGACATAGAGACACCGTCGATCCTCAAAACAGAGGAGCTGCAGCAGAGAATTTTAGGCTCAAAGACACAATAATTACGATTAATTTTGTGCTGCCTTCTTTTTAAATGTGTGCTGCAAACAGTGCACACATGAGCATCACGTTTAAAAAAAACACATGAACAACCGAAAAAACATATTCATCACTGGTGACTGAAACAAGGACTTTAGGTACGGTTGAGTATAACTTGATTATTGAATGCTATCTATAAATCTCAAATATGAAATTTGTTTTCTTAGTCTTCTGTTGGAGTTAACTGAATACCAAAGATATGTTAGAACATTTGAGAAGATCAACTTGTTCTGTGGCAAGCTGTGATGAGCAATTTGTTGTTAATTTTCTGAACCTTGTTAGGAATGAAAATCCTTTCTAGATTAAGGGATAATGTAAACAATTAGTATTATTCAAGCCCTCATACACTAATGATATCTAGCAACTGCAGCTACTAAATATAAAACTGTGTGCATAACAACACTGAAACTAGTACATGATGGTTTGATGTGTGCGTTCATTTAGATTTGTGCTCGCTTGTGTGATTCAATCTGCCCCATTGCTTTACATTCAGTAAATACAAACAGGTAAACTTACTCATGATAATTAACAATGTGGGTTTGGTTTGGTTTGCTATGGGGTTATACTATTTGAGTTATTTACCATTAAGCACACATGAACTAAGTGATTAACACCCATCACGAGTCCCTCGGCTCTTATAAATAAATAATCTATCCACCTCTGTAATCCTTATTCAGTTTCTCCCTTTGCTCGACAAATGGTCGTTTTTGTAATTATTCCTCTCAATAACACATAATGAAACCTGGAGCAGCGCAACTGGCTCATGCTCACAACTCAAAAGCAGCAGACAAGATTGACTCCACAGTCAATGAGCATCTCTCTAATGAGCCAATTCAGGCAGTCGCTAAAAGCCCCTCCTGTGACCCATGATGGTTTCTCTTTATTCCATCGCCATAAAGGAGAGGGAGCAGTGAGCATCGGTGGTGGAGAAAGAGTGGTACAGAGAGTGGGCCCGCCGGGAAAAGAGGAAAGAGAAAATCAGACCAAATGGTGGTATTAAGATGGAGAATGGAGAATGGTATAAAGAGCTAAACAAAAGCAAGTCAAAGGGGATTTATTGAAATGAAAGTTTGAGGTTAAAGAAAGAAGGATTTAGAAGGATTTGGAAAATTCAGAAGAAGAAGATCGAGGAAGACGGCCTATCAGTTTTGGAAATACAGCATACATCTTTTTTTATGGAATCCTATCGTGTGCTAAACTAAGCTAACAGCTTCTGGCTCAAGCGTCATATTTACCATACAGATATGAGTGGTATCCATTTCCTCATCTAAATCTTCTAAAAGAAGAAGTTTGTTTTCCAAAATATCAAAGTTAGCTAGTTAGTAATGTTAGCTTTTGGAGACGGCACACACGTTATGTTACATAAAAATGGATAGATTCATTTTGAATATATTAACAGGCAGTCATTAAGGAAAATAAGAATAACCATTCAAATTATCGGACAACATATATAGCAAATGTAAAAATAATTATATGTTTGAAAGAAGGTAAGCATGTAAACACTTATAAGAACGCAACTCCTTATAAACTAATTTATGAACTCAATGTTAATCATATATACATACAAATGATATAACTCAAAATTATTCTTAAAACCAACCAAAACAACTATTAAAACAACCATCACAGTACAGAAAAAGACAACACGCATCCCCACAGCTCTAACGAAATACACTTTTTATACATATTCTTAAACGGATTTCCATAAATTATAATTGGTACAAACACAATTAAATTTTACTCTTTTATCCACAAGTTTCAGCCCATCTCTCTGTCCAAGACCTTTTTATTATGCTGCCAGTAAATACATTATTTATCTCTGTTTATGGAATATGTCCCGTCTTTAATTATGAAATCATATGTAAAGGACAGTCTGTGTCCTTGAGGCAGATGGGGATCGTTCGGATGGAAAATGCAAGACAACCTCAACATCACCTTTGCGTAAAACACTCCCATGACACCAACTAAATTCAGTGAGAGAAGAGCAAACAGTGTGAATCAACATGCTGGATTCCTCCTGAAAGCATGGACATAAATCTTGTGGACTGGTCATGAGCTCATTAACAGCACGTTCAACTGATTAGGAGTATTTGTTTTAAGGTATTTTAACAGTGTAATTTGTCTAACCCTTACAGCTAAGATGAAAGATCATATATTGCTGACAACAAATCATCACATACCTAAATAGCCTTGAAGGCAGCTGAATAGAACGGAAATTCCGTTTTCACAGACAGTTTAAACAGATGAAAATGAATTTGTTGGAATGACTTAATCTTAAATGCATTTGTTCCCTCATTGACCATTGACCACGATGCACGGATCCCACACTATCTATTAAGGGGTAAAAACAACCAACCTAACTGGTGTATATGCTGAAGAGAGTTGTGTCTCCCAATCAGTTAGAGATATTCTAGGGAAAGGTAATTCTGTAAGAAAAAATGACTTGAATATCAATTTCATAGCGGTAATAATTAGAGACAGGGCTTCTTTGTGTGGATGACAATCCGTTCCAGCTATCGCCATTAGCAGATAATTAGCAAAGTACAAAGGACATTTGTGTTTCGGAGCACATTTGAAAATCGTGCTCGCAATCACAGATCTAGAAAGCAATTCACGGAGAGAGATAAAGAGCTGGAACTCCGGGGATGACGCACAGTGCTTCTAACAAGGAGAGTGGCGTGGAGAGTGGGTACGTTATCGGGCTTTATAATTAGAGTTATTTCCACTTAATTGGGAAGATTAGGGAAGACGGAAGCCACACAAACATGAACGTCTCGGAGCAATCCAGCTAACCCATGCATGCGCTCTGAATGCTAATACAAAAATGAGGGGGATTTCTTACATGAGAACATGGCCCCGCCTTGCTCTCGCAGTCAAACTGGGAGTTGGCGCCGAGGTGATAACAAGCAGAACATCATGAACTTTTCAAAGTGATAACCGCAAACACACTTCTTATATCATTAGCATTCTGACCAGAGCTGCGTTTCGCTTGACCACAAACCCACATGTAAAAGAGCCCCCCCAAAAACATCTGTGATAAATGAATTGTAATAGCAAAATACACTGATGTGTAAATATTCAAATTCAAATATATATATATATATATATATATATATATATATATATATATATATATATATATATATAATTTATTCAAAAAGGGTAGTCTCCCGTGTCTGTCCACAAAACTGTCCCTTTCCATGTTTTTCGCTTAACAAATATTTTCTCAAGGACGATGATGTGCGCACATAATTTCCTGTTTACTGACAAGTTTACTTCATGGCCACAAGTGCAGTATCTTACTGTCCATCTTACTGACTGCGGCTCACAGGCATTTCACTTCAATGTTGCAGAGGGAGACACTTGCAGGCAGGTGTCAGGGCAAGATGTGACAAAATGTGGCGTGTTGTTCCGTCGCATCGGATTGTGTAGCTCACACAGGCACGCACACCGGGGTTCACATATAGAAACAGCTTCAGAAGTGCACATCATGGATCAGCCAAATGCAGCACGGCTAACAAGCTCCGCGCCCGAATCTCCCGTTGACTGAGTGGCGTCGTGGGTCACCTGCCAGGGGAGAGGATGCAGGAGGATGGAGACTGAGGGGCAGACTCCATCCTCTAGTACTCATTTTCCTGTTTCCTGACTGTCAGTTAGATGTTCTCTTTTCTGTAGAGTCGCAAAGGGTTGCAGAATTACTGGACATTTTCCAAGGGGAGTTAAGGTTGGTCATTTTGAACGAGGGCAAGTAAAGAGTTCTGTAACACATATCGGGCTTCTGGTCCATTAGATAGCTTGTGTTCTTTTTGAGGAGTTGGCTGATAAGTTCACAAAACCATGTAGTGCCACTCTGGTGCTCTCTAAAGTCTCAAAAGCCTCTAAGAACGCAGGTCAGACTTTACCAAATCTGGTCTTTAAATCAACTACAAAGTTAAAAATTACATTAAGGAAGTTTTACATGTTTAAAACACCACTAACAGATGGATTCAATACAATGCTTGAATAATTATTATTCTAAATGTGTGACAGACCTGTTATTTCTTTCTCTCTCGACTTGTTAAATAATTAAGTTGCCGACGGGCTGATATTTGCCCTCCTCTTTACATAAAGAAATCATGCATACATTTCTATACAGTATTATTAAAGTGATAGTATGTAAATTAATCAATCTTTATCACTTACCGTATATGAAGCCTGATGAAAAGTGTTATTAACTCCCTGACAGCAGACAAATACTCTTCTCAGTCTCGAGCTGACACGTAGCACATCGGCGGTTCTTCGTCATTTAACGGTATACCT